GCTGATTTGTCTCGGGGTTGTTTCCTTCAAAATGCTGTTTCAGTATAAACTGATTAAGCAGTTGGAATCAAAAGATCTTACTTCAATATACACTGTCATGGTTTCCTCCTGAACCCCCTAGAAGCCCTGGAAACAAATTTAGTCTGTTCAAATTTAAATACTTAAACTATAGCAGCAAAACAAAGCAAAACGAAAAGAAAACCAGCAGAGGAAACTTCTCTTGAATAGCAGAATCACTTTGTGTGAACAACAGAGGTGCTGAACAGTAGCTTCTGCTTCTGTTTCTTTCTTTTCTTGCCTCCCTTTTCCTCTGTGAAGGATTAAAACGATACTGTCATTCTTCTCATGGAACAGGAATGTCACACACAAATGATAAATGGTTGTCCCCAGACTAAATGACTTCTACAGGCCCCTGACACTTTCTATCAACCCCCTGAGCACCACCAGGTAGTTAAATTTTAACTAATTACTGCAGACAAACTAAGGGAGCCTCCATTAAACCTAAAACACACCTATAAGCATGCCTGATTCCAAAGTCGGTGTTGCAACAGCAGCTCCTAGGACTGCAGGCGTGCAGCAGTGTGCCTTTCAGAGGGGTACCGCTTTCACCCACGTCCAGAGACCAGAGCTGCATCCGATGCTCAGTTTCACTGAAACTCCCAGGCCCTCCCGTCCAACTCTCCATCACTCAGTGCGGTCGCCAAACAGAAGCCAAAGCTAGACGTCAGAACTGAGCGCTACGCCTGAGTTCTACCAGCCAGCACCAGGCGCAGAGGTTTAAGTTCATCTCAATCTGTTTCAGACTCCCTAATCTGAAATTTTAGATAGCAGTCACTTTGATGTTTAGGTCAAACTTAAGCGGTAGTTCAGCAGCTCAAGTATTTTGAGTTCAGAAGTGCACACCTGAACTTCCTTGAGATAAAGCTTAAGTTCCAGCAGAGACATAGCAAACACGACTGTCAAAAGCCAGCTCTGTCCTACCAGGATTCTTTGCTAGTTGGAGATCATCTCAGCTCGCACTAAGAGAGCTGCTTTAAGCTAACAGGAACCCTAGTCAAGCTGTTCAGAAACCACAACCTGAAAATTTTCAGAACTGTTCTGCAGCCAATTTTTGGTCCCCAAAACTGCTGCTCTCACTTCTCCCAGAGGAAGAAGGGGAAACATTCAATTTTTTCACTTCAGAAATTTTTCATGCCTTCCCCCCTCCACCTGTTACCTGATAAATGATCAGCTGTGGACGGTTTGTCCAGTTTCAGGAGGGCTGCCTCGATAGCTTGGCTGAAGGAGTTCTGGAAACTGGGCACAGGTACGCGGTCAGAGCTGTCGCTTTCTCCATCGCTGTCCGCTGGCACAGGGAGTGCCAGCGTGTTCTCATCTGGAAGAGGGAAAGGGCCTTGAGAGGCAGAAGGCTGTACACAACTTTTGCAGTGCAAACGCCGCTCTGCACTCCAGGTGTGTCTTATGAAATTACAGGATGTCTGAGATTTAGATACATGGGAAAGAACCTGAAGTAGTAACACCAAATTTTCTTACCTCTTGTCTTTGGAGCAGGTTTCGGCCATGTTTCTGGTTTTGCCTTTCCAACTCTCAACATCTATCAAAAAAGTTGTAAGATGTGATTAAATCCCACATACTAGAACAATCCTGCATATCCCCTAAGTGGCAAGAAAATCTAGGAACCCTTCCAAGCACTCAAACCGTACGTTGCCTCCCTAAGATTTATCCCGTGTTGTTTTTGTGGGGGAAGCAATTGTGTTCCTGGACACAACTGTGTCTGTGAATCCCCAAGACAAGTAATTGTGACCAGATTTCCTGTGCCACATGACTTACCTGGGCAAAGGAAGGGAAGGAAGACTCTTCTTCCAAACTCCCACAGAGCACTGGGCTGACCTGGCTGGCAGCAGGTGACAGTGGAGTTGGAACAGACTCTACAGAGAAAGTGGCAGATAATTAACGCCAGTTGCATTTGGCAAAGGTTCTCATTATGCTGCTTATCAGGATGAAACAGAAATGAAGTTTTATTATCTTATGTAATTAACCATTCTAATCTCATCAGTTCCATCCATTAGTCACACAGTGGGACCTCTCAAATTTCCTCAATCTTTTTATTTAAGGGAGATTCAAGTTTGGGGGGGGTTTTTTGCTTATTTTGGGGTGTCATGTGTTGGGTTCAGCTTTGTTTTAGAAAAACATTTAAGAACAGTTTCCATGTAGTATTTTATGAACTGCAAAATAAAGCATTTGGGACAGCATCACTAGACAACAACCTGAGTGAGTGCTCTTCAACGACGTTTTATTTTAGTATGCTGTGGTGGGGAAGATGGAGAGGGTGGAAGGAAAGAATGCCAGCAGTGTTTTCCTGGCATACACACTTTCGTCCCTTCTAGGGGAATTTTTTTTCCTTCCTTCTGCCTCAGCAAAGCCTTACAAGACGGGGTAACTACAGTGCAGATCTCACATCGTCACTGAAGTAGAGGTAGCGAAAAGCAGACACAGGACCAGAATGTTTCTTAGCTGTGTCAGCCTCCTGTGTATAATCTCAGGCAATCTAGGAAAGCAGCAGTCCTTCATCCATATTAAGACAGTTTAGCGTGGTGACCTGAGCAGTAGATCCCAAAAGAATGGTCAAGAGCTGGATGTGACGTGTTTTTCCAGATGCTCACCTGTCTGAAACACAGGGCTTCTGCCAAGAGGAGACAGACAGAAGCTCTGATGATCAATGCTGGTAGTTTCTCCGGAGCAAGAGGTAAAAGCAGGGAACTGCTGCAGATTCTCTAAAGCAATATGGACCTCTGGATCTAGAAAGAGGTTTTAAATTAAAGCACTACACAACGTGGGGGAAGACTGTCAATATGCAAGTTGTTTCAGGAGTCTAGGAGGTGCCAACTCAATTTTCTTTCCACCTGCTATTTTAGAGACCAGTACAGCCCTGCTGCTGGATGGAAGCAGTTCCTAGGCATTTTTTTCCATCTTCACTTTTCACTCTATCTCATGAATACTATAAAAACAGAAATTAAGCATCCCAAGAGCTATATACACCATGGAGATAGCTGTGCCCTCCAACGCCCTCTGCCCCTCCCATAATGTGCAAGTATGCAGGAATTGCATAACATCATTTAACAACAGCTTCTATTTTTCACTCTACAGGTGTCGTTTCTAATACCTTGTAATCATGTTCCAAGTACAAACTACAAACTAAAGGCCTTGGAGTTCATCCTATAGCTCAAGAAATCAGCTCAGCAGCTAAAGACGACTGGAAATTCACCAGTCATGCTCAATCACAACTTACATTTGCCCTGTTTCTTGTTTTCTTCTATCTCAATTCTGCGTTCCCGTCGTCGTTCATCACGAGCTTTCTTCTGCCGCAGACGCTTCCTCTTTTCAAGGTCATCTAGGAGCAATGCACAGCACTGGATATCAAAACACCCACACCAACACTTTGGCAATGTTTTCTCCAGCTTTGAGAACACTGTATTCAGTTACAATACATTTAGTAACAACATATGCTTACAGACAACACACGCTTTTCCAAGCAGTCAGGCCACCTGACTTTTTTGGTCTATAAAACAGTGAATTGGGGTTGCTCTGCCTAGTAATCATCAGGTAGTTGGTGCAAGAGGAGTAAGGCTGCTATATATGTTCTGTATTTCTGCCATTAAGGGATAAGAACTACTTCTCCTCCACCCTCATGGATACATGCTGGAGCCTACTAGAAAGGTAGTACCAACCTGAAAACAACTCTAAAGTCTCCTTGGAGATGACGGGTGGCTTCAGAGCCAGTTCACAAATGCTGAACTCGCAGGTGAGGGGCAAGTGACAGAGGTAACGATGACGCTGTCTTATATCCTGATGGAAAAAAGAGAGCAGATCTATCACTGCAATGAAGTCCAGAGGCTGCCATAGTGATGAATAGCTTATGAACATACAACGCCCACCATTCATCAAATCAAATGGAAAAAACGGCAGCAGTGACACAATAGCCACTTTATAAACCACAAGCACGTGAAGGACGCTCCGGGTCCGAACCAACTGCTCCAGGATCTCCACCAACTACGTCATAAGCAGATCTGGATGCAGTTACTTTGGCTCGCTACCGATTTTCTTGTTATTCCTCCCTTCCCCTCATATCACTGGAATAAAATTCTAAATACCAGTCCTCTGATGCATTTATTTTTGCACTGGGACAAATTTGCCTTTTACATTTAAATTATTTGGACCAACAACCGCCACTTTACTCTGCTTATTTCAGTCTAGCTTTGTATTTTTCCTCACAGAGCCAGAAAACCTGAAGACAATTCCCTGCTACCTCTGCATCCATTATTACTTGAGCACATCCTTTTTTAAAAGATGAATTAAAAATTACATATAGTTGTTACTGCACATGCCAATGCTTACAGTTGTTTTTAGATAAAGTAAAGGAATTAAGGACCCATCCCCTCCCTCCAGAACTTCAGTGCCCTAAGCACTTTCACCCCCTCTATCTCAAACACTTTAGTTTCTTTCCATCCTCTTTATTTTCATAACATCCCACCTCTACCCTTGATGCCCAGAAACAACTGTTTGTTCAAGACTGGGGGGGAACACTGATTCAGGCTGAGAAAGATGATGATCTGCCTAGTTCAAGCTACTGTCTTATATGAGAAAAGAATTTACTTGTTTTAAAACAGCTTTAACAACAAACTAATCTTAATTCTTCCTCCGAGAACTTCCTACCTTCTAGAAAATAGTAGGCCACAGTCTAGCTTTGTTTTCTACGAACAGCAACTTCAGGTGTTACACAAATGCCCTTCACAGAGTAGTATGCCTACCCATTCCTAGTTAATATTTCTTATTACTGAAGAGAAACAAGCCTCACCTCTCAGTCACAACGATCCACCTGCTAAAGCAAGCGCCTTTAAGAAGATAAAGTAACTACCTCCGTCATTGAGTAGCCAGTTATCTCCACTACAGCTGCAGTTATCTTCTCTGGACTCTTCTCCAAGCTGCCGTATTCGCGAACAAGACATCGAACATTCACAGGGTGAAGATACATACACTGCCCATCCTCCGCTGTAAGAGAAGGTGTCATCACTTGTTCTGTGCCCGTTAATTTTCAGTACCCTTCTCCCCACCGCAGTACATCACCAGTAATAAAATTAAAGCTTCTTTCTGTGTTTTGGGGTGGAGGGTGTTTATTTCACAGGGTTTAGCTACACTTAATGAAGTGCCAAACACCTTCCTCAAGCAGGATCCCAAAGGAGGCATCTCTGCCCCCATCATTCAGGATTTCATTGCACTGACCTTGATAGAAATAGTAAAAAGGCGAGTTGCTAAGATGTCCACTACTAATTGTATCTTTAGATTCTTGGTAGCCTGTTTCAGCTGGATTTGGTTCTTCTGTAGTGCTGGTATCAGGCTCCCCTACGGCGTCCACCTCAGGTACTTCCTCTTCATCCAGCACTGCCTCTTCTGCTTCCACAGGAGGTGAAAAGGAACTTGCCAGATCTGAGCAAGGCTCCACAAGCTCCTCATCAAATGCAGAGATATATTCCACACCACACTATCACAGCAGAGAGCATACAGTTAGTACCACATCACCTCCTTCAAAGGCTTATCATCTCTGCAAAAATCTTTGGCACTAGTTCAAAAACACTGCAGTGTAAAGTGGCAGAATTAAGTATGAACAAGATTTGTCAGAGCGGAGTTGTCACCCACCTTTTTCTCTCGGGAAACTGCAGGCTGCACAGCCTTGGGGCTTTCTAGGACCAATTCTTCCACAGCTGCACTGATTCCAGTAACGACACTGGTTTTACCCTGGTCAGCAGAGAGTGCTGTTTCTCGCTCCTACAGGTCATCCAAAGAGAAAGTTTCAATTTCCCATTTAAGCCAGGAGACTACCACCATCGTTATTTTCAGCCCTGTCCTATACCTCAGGCTTTCATAGATCTGTACTTCATCTGTGACAGAGTGACCCGTGAAGACAGGTCCTCTCCTTGTTACTGGAAAGCACAACCATTGTAAAAAGGTTTCAAAGCCTAAAGGCTTTGAAAAGGCATATTCTACAGGCTCTCTCATGTGTGCCTGATAAAAGTTATCCCAGAAATTACTGGACCTCAAAGGGAAACACAGCCTTCCCCAAAAGCAGAACTCTCTTACATTCACCATTCAGTAAAAATCATTCTGTTCCATCTTGAACATCACGCCAAATACTTGAGGGTCCAAAGGCTATATACTCCCCTCTGAGATTTATGATGCTTTTCTAGCAGCAAACATCACCACCTTTCTGGTATGTACACCATGGAGACCAGAATAATCACATACACAACCACCTATGCAGCAGAACCCAGATGCTTAGCCCTCAGCATACTGTTAATGTCACCAAAAGCCTGCAAAAAGGTTCTCACCTTCAGTTCCTGGATAGCCGCTTCAATAAAGCAAGCCTCTGGGGTGTGTTTTTCTTCTTCATACTGTTTCAGTAATGCCACTTTCTCCTCCAGAATCACCAGCTGCAAGACCTGCTCCCTGGATGCCAGAAGCAGCTTTGAATACTGACTGTGCTGGTCATCTGAACAGAAGGAGCACCAAGTCATTAATATCTGCGTGAACAGGCACCAGTTTGAACTGCTGTTGCTTCTGAGGTTCTGTTACTGCTCAATTTTGTCAGTTAATCCACTCCAGGACAGACGATACTTGGCAAGAGTTTGATATAGACTCTGCATATGACCGTTCTATCACGCATGACATAAGGTGGTGTCACATACCTGCTCTGCTACACACATCTTCCACCCCCCCACCCCGCAGTCTATCTGCTGCTTTCAACCTGCCACTTCACCACTCAGTTGCCACGCATCAAAAACAATCAAGTCCAAACTTCTTTGCTGTGGAAGCATCACCTTTGAGAAGTGCTGGGTGGTCAAAACATCCTGAAAGAATGCAGTCTGCAGCTTCTCCTCCTCTAGATACTCAAAAATACTGCAACTGGGAAGTTCTGCAAGTCACCTCTGCTTTGGCTCAAACTAGTTCCCAAGCCCATATGTATTGAAAACCCATATAAAACATTGTGATGAGGTTTTTACAAGAAGCGCAGCAGAAATAGTAAACTAAAGAATTGCAACTTTAGCAAAAGGTAGTCATCTTTGCTACTAGAGGGCCTGCCTTAACTATAAACTTTACAGCAACCTTATCATCACGTACCAGTACAGTCCATGTATTCACTGCTCCTGAAGGGTCCAACGTGTCTAGAGAATACCAGGTTAATGCTGAATTTCCTGGGTTTAGAATGATCTCAAATCCCAGATTTGTTCTTTGTTTTTTTTTTTTTTAATGAAAGTATTTAAAGTCCTTTACTTTCAAATGCCGAGGAACACGTAAGCACAAACCCTGCTTGCTGGGTGCCCATCATGCGTTAGGAGACTTGGCTTTTTACAGAGAGCTTAAATGCACGCAGCCTTTCACAAATGTGACTGCACAGCGAAGCGAGCCAAGACAGCCCACTAAACAGCAATGTTAAGTAAAATTATTCCTTTAGTCACAAAATTTTCACGATACTAACAGATAAGATGATGATGTGTTAGTCACATTACTCGACTGGAGAAAACCGAAGAAGTCAGGCAACAGATGTTTGGAATAGGTTTGAAATAATTTTGACTATTTTCCCATATCATTCCCAGATCATAGCTGATAAGTGAAGATGAAAACCTCGTTGAAGATTACATCCTTGAAACAGTTTAGACACAGAGACAGTTATTTTTGCTAAGCTGTATAATGAGGACCTAGAAGTAAAAAAAAAGTTGAAGACACTGAAGAGCCAACAAAAGCATCAAGAGTCACACCAATGACTGCACGAATCAAACACACATCAGACTAAGGACTGAGAAGGCAGGAGGCTGCAGTGCAGTAACTTGAAGGGAGACAGCACACAAGTTCAGGTCTTACACAAACCACAGCGTGGGTAGAATGCTTATTAATAAGATGTGGTTATTAAAAGTTTTCAGCTGCTGAAACCTGCGTTTTGTAATCCGGTCTATTTTAAGGTGAGAGCATGGCAGTGCCATGGTAAATCCTCTCTCCACATGTCCCAGTCAGAGCAAGATGCCAACCACCAGTACTCACACGCACTCACCTCCGATGTAAACAGGCTGCACCACATTCATCCACTGAGATTTGGGCAGTGCTATCAGAACACCTTTCTCTCTTCTCATAAGTTGCATCGTAATGGTATCACCAATGGCATACTGACGTGTTTCCATAGCAATGACACTGCAACGTAAGGAGAAGGTTAGTAGGGCATAAATAACATTCCAAAAAAGATACACTATTTATTAAATATTAAGTCTCACCTCTTGAGATCCTTCTTGTGAACAGAGCCATAACAAATAGGACATTTACTCCAGGTCTTTTCACTCAAGGAGAGATAGTGAAGGATGCATGCCCAACAAAAGATATGCCCACAGCGTGTGATCTTTGCTGCGGTAGGTGGGTACAGACATATTGGGCAAGAGGGCACTTCATGGCCACAAATTCTCTGAAACAACACAAGAACAGAACAAGTTTTAGACTTGGGAATCAGTTGTGCTACAGAATAAGCCACCTGAAAGTTCTACTCTAACGATCTTCCAGCTCTTTAGACTCTGCTTATTTACCAAGAAACTAAGGTCACTGAACTAAGTAACACCTTCAGATTGCACACTGAATAACCTTCAAAGCCACCCAGCTGGTATTTCTACTCTAATGACGTTAAAAAAGTGACTCTTCTCATATTTCCGCCCATGTATTCATCACCTCTAGGAGTTAGCAGCATCTTCATCATCCGAATCCAGACACTGAGAAGACAGCAAATGAACTGTCGTCTCACTCACGCAAGCTGACTCGTGCAGCCCTGTTTAACTGCAAGACTCAACATACCTACTTCCACAAACGTGCTAGTTTAGTCACTTTGCTGGCATCTGTATGTTGCAGAGACATAACTGCCAAGCAAGCACCCAGATTTTCAGCTCTCTCGTAGCATCAGGTAACAGCCTACCTCCGGCTACACCATACACCAAGACTAGTCTTGGCAGGTAATAATTTTCTACTTGAGGAAACCTAAAGCTCTGACCACAATTCTCAAGAGATTTTTCCATTTGGTTGCTAGGCACGATGGGCCACCTATGCACAGAATAATTCTTCAAAATTCTACACTCTAGTCCTCTTCCATGGACTCATGCCCAAGTTTTCTGTTAATATCTCGATCACAAGGACTCTGTCTACAGAATGTCAGATACTATTTTTGATGAGCTCCCATCTGCGAAAGCAAGAAGAAGCTGCTAATTTTCCTAATAGATTTTAGCACTTCTCTTTTCCTGTCATGAAAGTATTTCATAATATATTCCATGACAGATCTTTCCCAGTATTGTGGGAGTGACAGAGGAGGCCTCAACTCAAAACCAGCTGAGTTTTACGTAACATCACAGAGATAAAGAGGCAGTTAAAGACAGGTTGAGCTTCTTAATAATAATCATAAAAAAAAAATCTAGCCCATCAAAACTGACCACTTGCTCCACAAAGTCCCAGTTGACCAAGGTATCTGGATCAGCAAAGTGGACTGTGTAGTCCCGTTCTTCAGAGACAACAAACTGGCAGCTGGGAAAAGGCAAAGAGACAGATGATGCACTCAGCTGTTTCTAAAAATTCTTTGAAAACTATCCTATAGGATTCTCTGAGGTTCTCCTTTGTCCATCAGAAAACTGCTGGACGCCATCAGTAAGTTCTACCAACAAAACCCCAGAGTGTTCAATTTATGACCAGACTCCCAGAATACAGGTGTGTAATTTCAGTCAGACATGACATCACGTATTAACTACAGAACGAGCCAGGCAGAGTGGTTTTCCAGAAGCATGTAAGAAAGAGCCAGCTCCATTGGGGATCTATTAAAAGACAGGGAATTCACACGTGGAAAAAATATGCTCACAAAAAACTGGAACTACTGTGGTTCCAGCAAACAGATTTCACTACAATAAGTCACAAAACAACAGGGAAAAAACCAGAAGCATCAACGCTAGAATAGTTTTTCTTTTCTTTAACATCAGACACAGGAAATCCTGAACATGCTTCAAATTCCAGTGAAAGCAGCCACTATTTCCTGTCAAAGATAGTCTGCTGCTGGATTACTATGCTGATCATTATTTGGGTTATACTGCATACCTAGGGGACTGTGAAATAAACAGCAGTTTAAGAACTAACAACCATATCAGTAATTGCTTCTGAGACTGACACATTCAAATTAGCTTTGATCCAGCAACTGCTACCCCTACCATCTCAACATACTATTTTTTGGGGTAAAAAAATAAAAAGATGGTCTTCCATAAAGGACCCACATAGGCCTTCCCAAATGGAGTGTCATATTCCACAGGAGCTGCTAGAAAATTAGAGCAAAAGACTAATTGGTTTGTATCTGAAGGATTCACTTCATCAGATATCTTGTAAACAGATAAAAGACAAGAATTTTCATCCCATTCAGTTACAGTCATTAACACTAAAAAACTACAGAGAGAGAACTTCACCCTAGAGAAGTCAACACAAGTAGTTAAGGTCAAACACAATTCCCTGGCTGATCACCCCTTACAGTTCAGCATCTCTGCAGAAGTCTAAGAACCCCGCTAGACTTCCACTCACTTGGCCTGTAGGAAGAGCTCCTTGTTGAAAGGCTTATGTCCCCACTTGTTCCTCTTCCCCCAGTTGCCATGTCCATTCCCATCAAAACGGCCTGCTTGGCCACGGGGTTCAAAAGTGAAGTTCAGTAAGTGGTTCAGGTTAATCTTCTTGGGACCAGAGAATTGGGCAGGGCTGAACTCTGCCCGCTGAGCCTCTGCTACCTAAGAGACAACAGCAGTTGTTAGAACTTGCTAGAATTTACTGCAAAAGCATCAGTACAAGTTGATGTCCAGGCCCCATCAGTCATTACATACAGAATATGCGGCATCCACTCACTCACCTTCTCCCATTCCGGTTCTGCAAATCAAGTAGTGCAGCGTTAGAAGTGCATGAGAACCTGAAAGTTAGAACTGAGTGGCCTTACCCCACACTGATCAAAAGGAGGAGAGCATAACAACCCACAGAAGGACAAGTGAAAGCTGGTAAAACCTAGTAGTCAAGGTTAATAACAGAAGAAAGTTATTAGAATCCGGAAATTTTTAGACAGCCAGTAATACAAGTCTGATCTCTACTTGCACAGGTCATACTTGTTTTGGTTAGTTTTCATATAATGAAGCAAAGAATGAGAATTCAACAGAGACAGCAGGCGAGTTCTGACAGCAATTTGGGTGAGCAGTACTGTTCATCCACTAAAACTGAAAAAACCCCCTGAGTCCTCTGTGTCAGTGAAAACCCAACAATAATCTACAGTATTTAGACCAAAATCAACATAAAGTCTCCATCTGGTTTTACTCCATACTGATGTCACCAAGGCTAACACGATTAATGTCCCAATACCACCATCCCATGCAAATCTGTACACTGAAGTGGTTAGACACCATCACCTCAGACTTAAAAGCTAGAAATCATATCACTAGATATTTTCACAAAGGACCTCTTTCATGAGATGTACACGGCCTGTCTAGGTACCCATTCCTCAGACGGTATTTTTTACTGCACGTCTCCCGGAGCAGAGCGCACTCCTCTTCGGTTGTCGCACTGTCGTTCTGCTCACACTCACTCTGGCATCCCAACGATGTCAGCACCTCTTATCGCTCTTTCCACCCAGGAGCACAGAAGACCTATCTAGGCAGGTCAGAGCGATCCTCTTGTCCCAAGAAAGAAGGCCTGGGAGGCATGGCATTACAATTCTCACCTCATCTCGTCTTCCACCATTACAAGAGCTAAAAAGTCTGCCACTTCCACCACTACCTCCCCTTTGAGGGGGCATCTTGTTAAAAGCTTTGCTTTTCTGTGAATTGGAGCGACGGGCACAGAAGACCTATCTAGGCAGGTCAGAGCGATCCTCTTGTCCCAAGAAAGAAGGCCTGGGAGGCATGGCATTACAATTCTCACCTCATCTCGTCTTCCACCATTACAAGAGCTAAAAAGTCTGCCACTTCCACCACTACCTCCCCTTTGAGGGGGCATCTTGTTAAAAGCTTTGCTTTTCTGTGAATTGGAGCGACGGGACTGACTGGAAAAGTTCTCATTTTTTGAATATGAAGTTTCTCTTTTACGATTATAACGCTGTTTGGATCCACTCGCATTCTTTCCATCTGAAAGAAAAGAAAGACCAAAAATCAGATCAGCAGCGAGTTGCCCACACATTCTGCACCTCTGACAGCGCCGTGTTCTCCTCAGCCGCTGCCTTGGGACCTGGTTAAGAGGCTGGTGTTTATCAGGACAACAAATCCCCCCAGCAACCCAAACCGTTTCATTCCTATCACTGCTCAAAGAACTGGGCACAGAGTACAAAAGAAGGATGTATTTGCTATGCTTTACCTTTTATTAGAGCGGTTGAATTTTCTTCATCCAGATTTGGAACTGCCACCACCTGGCGTTGGCGTGTTGCCTGGTACGTTTAAGTGACAAACACCAGCAGCACATCTCATGCCCCATTCCAAAAACTGACAACTACTAATTTTTTTCATCCCATTTTCTGAAAACACACAATTCATCACATGTGGTTCCTTACATAAACATACTACTGCCTACATTTGTCTCGAGGTTTCCTACTTGCAAGACCCCATTCCCTGTTGTCACTCTGTTCTGCTCCCTGTGCTTCGAACACCCCAACAAATCTAATTCTGTGAGGTTTCCCACTTGCAAGACCCCATTCATTCCCTGTTGTCACTCTGTTCTGCTCCCTGTGCTTCGAACACCCCAACAAATCTAATTCTGTTCTAAAAATACCCTTTTCTCTCACGAGGCCAACAAATACTTAACGAGCTTGAAGCACTAACTCAACGCTTTGGCCTTGTGGGGCACATACCTAATACCTGAGTACTAAGTCCACCGACCTATGCGGCAGGACTTGTTTGCCCAAACGCACGCTGAGCGCACCGCTGACCCTAACGCAGCGGGCAGCAGTGAAAGCACAAAGCAAAACACTGCAGAAGCAAAGCTCCCAGGAACAGAAAAATCAGTCAGGCTCTTGAGAGGGATCTCCTGTGTCTAAAGAGCTGCTTCATTAGACTATTAGAACAGAAAACAGCATGACAGCCTTTAAGATCACAGTTGCTCCAAGGACACAGCAGACTGTCGCTTAACCCAGCATTTCCATCAAATGCCCTAAGTTTTATCTGTCAAGAGTTAATGTTGATACACTCGGAAGCAAAACTCCACAGGCCCAGCGAGACACCTAACCACACCAACCAGCCCCAAAATCTCTCTGGTGTCGTGGTTTAACTCCGGCTAGCAAAATACGATGAAGCCGCTCTCACAAATCCCCCTCCCCTCCTCCAGTGGAGGGGAAGAATCGGAGGAAAAAGAAATAAGGAAGCTCGTAAAACTGAGATAAGAACTATTTACTAATTAAATCTAAATTAGTATATACAAGTGCTACTAATAATAAATAATTAAAGCAACAGAAAATAAAACATATGATACAATTCCTCACCACCCACTGACCAGTGCACAACAGGGGCTGGGTAGGGAGAGTCAGACCCAGAGAGCCCGAGAGCCGCAGCCCGAGGGCTGGAGCCTGAGCGCTGCTGCAGCAGATTCCAAATGAACCCTATCAGCGATAGCAGCCCGGGAAAGCTAAACAACCCCACCAACTCCCTCGCGAACGAGCCAGCACACGAGTGAGCAAAGCAGCTAAGGCAGGAGTCAGGGTGAGGATTCCCAGGAATACGGGAGTGAAACAGAGAGAGTCAGGGAGAGAGAGTAAGGGCTCCCGGACCCCCTCCTCGCCTCTGCCCCCAGCATGACGTACTATGGCATGAAATCCTCCCTTGGTCAGTTGGGGTCAGGTGCCGGAACTGCGTGTCCCAGCACTGCCTGTGGCGAGACAGCGAGAGCTGGGAATGCAGCTGCAGGGTCAGAAGCAGAGAAAGACCTTGAAACTAGTGCAGGCATTCCCCAGCGCCAGCTAAGAACTTATCAGTGTTGCTCTCTGCATCCAGGAACACAGCTTCCTAGCAGCCAGGCAAAGACAGTTAACTCTTTCCTGGATGAATCCAGCACATCTTGGTACTCAGGAAGTGCTACAGAATCAGTAACGTCTCATACCATACCCACACTCATTTTATAAAAGCCTACTAGTTTCCTTTTTCCCACTTTGCAGTCCTCCCCACCCCTTAACATAAATCTTACACAGTAGGCACACACACCGCTGTGATTCAGGATCACAACGTGCTCGTATGGGCAGTTTTCATTACCTATGCCTCCAGTCTCCCACTTCCCTGGCACTACTTCCAATCTACCCAAGAATTTGAAACAGCTGGAATGGGATCATTCACACACATAAAGACTCATTCTTTTTGTTAACTGTTAGTTTTCTCTCCCATGTGCACCCCCAAAAAGGGGCGGGGGGAGGTGGACTGGAAGGTCTGTGTGTTATTGTACATTACTAAGGATCCAACTTCTTAAGGGTAAGTAATGGAAAGTGGCTTGACTATGCTTTGTGGTTGCTGTTTCTCACACACGGCAGACTTTGCCTGCAACTACAGCTACAGAAGTAAAAAGACACTATTATTATTTTCCCACCATGTGACAGGGACATTCTGCAGACAAACTTCATCACCAGAACTGGATATTTACTCGGCTATTCCAAAGGCTGACCCTTTAATTCAGAATTAAACCAACTCTGTCACAGATGTGGAACCCAAACACATGCTGGCGTAGCCTGCAGCGCTGCAACACACGTCAAGCTCATGGGCTGAGCGTTATCAGGAGAACACCACACCAGAAGCTGCCAAGCACCAAGGGTGTGACCAGGTCTGGCTGAATGATTACTCAGATAGACCTTTTTTGAGAGTGTTTGTAGGCAAGAGGTTATAATCAGCACCACTGAACCTCTGGTCAAAAAGTAAGTCATTTTGAAGAGGTTTGGACAACTTCTGGAGTTGTTCAGGAGCAGAGCTTGTCACTTTACAGCTCAACCACCCTCTTAAATCTGCAGTTTCAGTGAACACGCTGAAGAGACACATGCCTATTGTATCCACAGCAACTCCACGGTTTCACTGTGATCACCAGCTGGGGAAAAGAAACAGCCCAAGAGAAGTTCAGTCTAAAGCCTGTACCTGCACCTGACAGAAGAATTTCCTACCACTTAAGAGTTTCAATTAAGTTCGTCACCATCAAATTTGTCCGCCAGCTGGTTTCCACACATTCCTGTCCAACTACAGATCCTTTCAGACCAACTCCTAGAGTCTCTGGGAGTCACCATAATGACTCTCCCGTTCCATAGGAAAGTCTGCTCCACCTGTGACTTTTTTAGGAAGAACCTTACAGCCTAACAATACTTCAAACCCCATTTTACTGTCTGCAAATTTCTCTCCCAGAATAATTACCCTCATGAGGCTTCTTGTCCACCAGAGTAGTAATGAAATCAGTCAACTGACAGCCAAGGGTTTGGAGCATGCACTTGCACACTGGAATGCTCCTTCCCCACCCGGAATCCAAGCAGTGCTGTTCCTTCCAACCTTTCTGGCATGCCATACGTCACAGAGCATTCTGCTTTGTATCATCCCTCCTTGCATTCCCACGAAAAGCAAGGCAGGACAGGGCTATCTGCACTCATGCGGGGAGAAAAGTGGAAGATTCTCACTGCCACCCTCTCTTGTTAGATCCCACTTTTAAGCAGCACAAGTTTGGATTTGGGAGGGTTTTTTTTTTTCTCTCTTTGGCAAACTAGAAACGAGCAACAGCCCTGGCGAGGTACTTACTCTTCACTCAGGTCCTCAGTGCTTCCGCAGTTCTCTCAAGTTCTAACCTAAGATAAATATATCTACCCATCCACACTCCAAGAGAACCAAGACTTCCAGAAGTGCTGCCTGCGTAATTTTGTAACAACTACCAACAAAGTTGCCTTGCCTTTTGGAGCAAGCCCTGACACTGGTGGTTTCTCCTGCCACGTTCTGTCAGAGGACCACTGTCTCCAAAGACACAGGGAGAGAAGATCAAGTCCACAGGACTAAAAGCAGCTGTAGGCGACCACTTCGGACCTGGAGCTGCAGGACTGGCTTGCTGCTGGGGGGAGGACTGCAGTTTCCTTCCACCTTTGTTTGCCTCTTCTGTTCCAGCTGAGCTGTGTTGAAGCCAACTGTATTGCATAAGGGGTTTGGGTGGCGGGTCACGCTTAAGCTGCAGGGTGATTTCATGAAAATACACTGAAGCTATTGCTGCTGCTACGGCAAACATCCCAGTGAGCAAGAGGTGACTGATGAGTCAGGCACGCAGCCCGGCTAAGCATGTTCACACCAGAATAAGGAGGCCCAGGAATGTTTGTGAGAACTAATGTTGTCCATCGGGTCTCAAGGACTGCAGAGAAACCCAACAAGCCTATTTTCCCTTACCTACTTTATTCCATCCTAATGGGATGTGACTCCTGTTGGTGCACTAATATAACCCAAAGAAACTTCTCTGTTGGAAACTTCCAAGTCTAGTTTAATTTCTAAAGCTTGGTTTGGAAGGTGGCTAGAACCCAACTTCCACAAGTACAAGAGCTCAGAGTATCCTATTCAGCCCACTTCAAGCTGTGCTGCAAGAGAAACAGGAGAAGCTGCCACAAGGTTTCACGCGTTTCCTCCGCGGGACTTGAACACAGCAGGTAACCCTGGAAAACATCTAAATGGCAAGAGCTTGACTACACTGAAATCCAGCAACCATCAATGCAAAAGTCATTTATGCACAAAAGGTCGGCATTTCAGGGAGGGTCTGTGGTCCACCAAGAACACTTTCCACGTCCAAGACGGCACAAGATTTCCAGAATACCTCCTATACCTTTCCTGAAACAAGAGAGAAACTGGGTGGA